AAATACATAAAAGTTAAAATTATATATATTCAACTTTTTTTTGGTTTTTTTGACAGTTTTCTTTTTGTTGTTGTTTGGTATAGCAGGATAATCAGTTGGCTAACTAGATCCTTAAGAACATACTGATTTAAAATAGACTTGAACTGTTTTCCAGGAAGTGGAAAGGTTAATACTTCAGCTAAATTCATGTCATCAGTTATAATTCCATTCTAGAAAATCATATTTTTCATAGCAGAAATGAATCAGAGTTGTGCTCGGTATTTTCAATTAACCATCACTGTCAATAAAGAACTGCAGTGTTTGTACAGACAGGCAACATGCTACTTTAGAAGTATTAATTATTAAAAAAAAACAAACCAGACTTTCCTTAGTTTCTGATACTGATGACATATATTTAAATTTTATTTTTGCCTTGTGAGAGATCCTGTGAGATTTTGCATTTACTGTTCCAGTTTAATCTTAAATGACAAGAAAAGTCTGAGCAATAAAAGATGCTAATAGAAAGAATTTCCCTTTAGCATATTTACACAGGTCAGCATTTAATGGGATGATTCTTGATTGAGTCCATGTTATATAAACATTGCAGCAATGCAATCTTGACTTCGGAGTTCAATCTAGAACAATTTTGTTACTTTAAACTAGGTATCTCTTAGGTAAAAGATTTCACTGATAAAATAAAACGGGCAGGCAGTATGACATGTAACTGAACAAGAGATTGACAGGTTTTTTTCTCTTAGTTCTGAAATTTCCTTTTAGAACACTATCTATTCAGAGGTGACACCTTCATTACTCCCCTATAAAACCTAATTTGAAGCTTATTGAACCCTGACAATAGTTTTTCAGCTAGCAGTTAGCCAAAGAGAAAGGGGTTTTTCCTCTTTTCCAAGTTTTAAATAAAATTTTCCCATTCCTCATGCTCTTTTCAGCATTGCTTTACTGCTTTTGAAAAATGTAGACTTGGAAGCCTAGAGTATTTTCACTTTTCATTGTAACCGATAGCAATTCTGTCTTTGAGAGCCAGAAATAGCCACATTTCTCTTGACCCTCTAGGAGTAAAACCCCAGTGATGTTTTCAGAAAGCTGCATTTGAAACAAAACCAGTGACTTCTCCTCAGTAAGTAATTCAACAACTTGAGACAGTGATGAGAAGTGTGGTGCTTCTGTGGAGTACTGAAAGGACTAGCTTTTGGCTGTACTTCTGAAGCTGCTCTGTGACGTTTCATCCCCTAAAACCAGATCTTTTCAAATATTAACAAGGTTTTGACTCGGACTTAATTCAGATATAAAAAAGTACCATGTGAGCAAAACTCTCTATGGCAGCAATAGGACAACGGTATCTGGTATTTTTCCCAAAATTTGAGCCCTCAAATATAGCAATTTATGTCTAACTCCTGATTAAATTGCTTGTCCTTATGATTTATCATACATTATTCCTCCGGATTACAAGTCTGTGAAGTCATTATGTGTTCTTATTTGATGCAGCATGAGACTACTACATTGTCCATTAGTGGTTCTTGTAATCTGACTCCTGGTTTAATGTTTTCATTTTTTAATAGACGCACAAATCCTTTTGGTGAATCTGGAGGCTCAAAATCTGAAACAGAAGGTAAAACAAAAATTTTATTTCAATGCAAAATAAAAAATAGAATTTGACAATTATTTTTCTGTTTTCATGTATAGCTTCTCTCTTCTAATTTCACACCAGTTTTAGAATGCTTAGTTACATTAGCAGTGTATTAGACAAGTTGAGTTAAATCAGGCTACTGTCTGAAAGTCTGTTTTAAAAAGAATTCATTGCATCTTTTGTATTCATTAAACCAAAGGAAAAGATGTGTGACTTGCTGTTTAGTAATTGCACCTCTAATTCATAAGTATGAGCAATCCCTTTCCAAGTTATTAGAAGTTCGGAGTTTTCCTGACTGCGGTCCAGCTTTGGTTTTGAATGGAAAACCCAAAATGGAGTTCACTTTTTCAGTACTTTTCTTTGTCTTAGATTTGATTCTTCATCAGTTATTTATTGTAAGATTTCTTGGCTCTATGGAGGTGAAGTCTGATGAAAGTCCAGATGTTGTTTATGAAACCATGCGTCAAATACTAGCAGCTCGTGCCATCCATAACATTTTCAGGATGACAGAATCACATTTATTAGTCACTTGCGACTGTTTAAAGTAAGTTTGCTTCCTGACTTCTACTGATGTTTATTTACAGAATGATCTTTCACTTTGGTAAAATTTACTTTCTGGTTTGTTTTTAAAAACAAATTTTTAGGTTAATTGATCCACAGACACAAGTTACAAGACTACGAGTAAGTAACTTTACATTTTAAGATAAATACCCAGCAATGCAATTCTTCTACTTTAAAAATAGTATTATTAGATGTTAGCAAAAATCACTGAGATTTCCAGACAAATTTATGCTGAAATTAGGAGACTAATGCATACATTTAAAGCAGACAGAAAAACACTAGCAAATCAGGTTTAAGGGGAGTGATTTCAATAGGTCACATAGGCTTTTGAAACACCCCCCACCCCCCGATTTGATAGGGTAAAATCTTGGGAAAACATAATATTGTATCTTAACAACAGGTTTGATTATAAATATTTATATTGCTAGTAGAGAGGTAACATTAAGGTTGGAGTCACATTAGTTCTGAAGTCCAAAAGGGTTTGCTTGGTGTTTGGTTTTTTTGGTTTTGTTTTGGGTTTTTGTTTTTTTAATGCATTGAGAGTGTTGTACAGTTTCTGGTTTGGTGGGGTTTTTTCTAATTCTTTATAAAAAATGCACTTGAAAGAAGTAAGTGGAATTCTTCTTAGGATATCGAATAAGGCCAGCTTAATTCTTCAGTAATAGCAGTCTTTATTTTTCATATTTCCAAAGTGTTCCCTTTTGGTTTTGTTTTGGGTTTTTGTTTTTTTAATGCATTGAGAGTGTTGTACAGTTTCTGGTTTGGTGGGGTTTTTTCTAATTCTTTATAAAAAATGCACTTGAAAGAAGTAAGTGGAATTCTTCTTAGGATATCGAATAAGGCCAGCTTAATTCTTCAGTAATAGCAGTCTTTATTTTTCATATTTCCAAAGTGTTCCCCCCCGCCTCTGTGTCCCCCCCCGCCTCTTTTTCATTATGCACAATTTATGGTCTGTCATTTAATTTCTTTGGGTCTTCTTTTAAAAACATTCAGTTTTTCAGGGACTCTGAATTACTTTCATTTCCATACAAGGAAATCCAAAGCATGTGAAAATGTCTTGATATTTCAAGTAGCGCTTTTCTCTTTCTTTACCTTTGTGACATAAAGTTCAAAACTGCCCCAAAGCTGTAAGCTTTTACAGGTGAGATAGATACATCAACTGAGTATATGTCCAGTATCATTTAATGTCAGGAAAAACTCATCCTATCAGTCAGTTTATAGCAGGTGTAGTAGGGGCCTTCAGAATTAAAAAACTTACCCTTTGGTAAGTCTTAAAAAGATACAGTTGAAATTTCTAAGTCCACCCTCTTTTAGGAATGAGAATGCAAAGTAGTTTTTTTGTAACAAAAATAATGAGGATACGTGGTTTGTTCATTTTGTTGGGGTTTTTTTTCTTTTTTTTCTTACTTAAATAATTCAGGAGAGCTGAACTTATTGCAGTAAAGGTTTTGGAGAAGTAGTGCCTTTGCCTGGGACCAAATACTGAAAGCCTAGTCACAGCTGTCATTTGTATGAATGATGTCTCTTTAAAGAAGAAAAAAAGGAGTGTATTCACATTTAGAAAGATGACTGAATCGCATTGCAAATGCGGTCCCCTTTTCTTACGTGGAGTGTGGTTTTAGAAGTTTTCCTATATCTTTTGAATAATTTAATCCTTGTCTTCTAATCTACTGTTTGTGTTTCATAATTGCGTGTTTGGTCAGGTTGTAACTTCTTCTGGTGTGGTTGTGCATTTATGATATTGAAGTCATTAACGTGCAGTATATTGAAACCTCATATAGAAAACATTTGGAACCAGTTTTAATATCTCCATATTTGATCCTTTTTGGCAGTTTCCTTTGCCCAGTGTAGTCTTGTATGCTACGCACCAGGAGAATAAGCGCCTTTTTGGATTTGTGCTTAGAACTTCAGGAGGGAGAGTCGAGAGCCGCCAAACTTCCGTCTGCTATATATTTGAATCAAATAATGAAGGGGAAAAGGTATTGGTGATGGCTATACTTGTATCAGTTTTGAACCTGATGGGGATTCCAAGATGTTAGATCCATTCAAGCTGTCTAAGGGATTTCTGTGGGAGAGTATTTTGTGTATGTACTGAAAAACAGTTAAACCTGACAGTCTAAGTACCTGCAAGTGCTTAATATGCTATCATATCTAACTTGGGAATCTGGCTTAATTTTAAAGGCATTTTTATTAGAGTCTTTTTTATTATTTCCAATCTGTTTTGTGTTTGTTTAGATTTGTGACTCTGTTGGACTGGCAAAACAGATAGCTTTTCATGCAGAACTGGTAAGAATCTTTTCGGGGCAAGGGATGCTTGTGAATGGAAGGGAGAGAGTGTATTTAATATGTGTAGTAGAATATATTCCACAAGATGCATATAGATGCAGTAATACTGTTGTGGTGCATTTTAAGGGATTTGTTTTCTAGAATTTAAACCCGAGATAAAAAGACTTTGATCAGTGTCTACTGTGGAACAATATTAAAGATAGGATTCAGCTTGCTACCTTTAACAAACATACCAGTCCTTTAAAAGAAGAATAATCAAAACAGTGGCGTAACAGTTTTGAGCAAACTGTCATAAATTGGTAGTGTATCAAACATCTCAGGCTGTTGTTACTTACTTTATTTACATTTTTGCCCTTTAGGATCGAAAAGCATCAGAAAAGCAAAAAGAAATAGATAGAGTCAAAGAGAAACAACAAAAAGAACTGAATAAACAAAAACAAATTGAAAAGGTACGTTTCACCATTATTTCTTAATACTCTTTTTCTTTTTTTCTTTCTACTTTCTTTCTTTTGCAGTTTTGTATTCCAAGCTCCACTACCACATTCTTGAGTACAAGTTCATAGACCATTATGGAATTCAGTTAATCATTAGAAGTATTTCCTGTGCAGATTTTGTATAATTTTGTATAGTAGTTTTTAAAAAGAGCTCTTCTGAGGAGATAAACCACAAAACATCTTTATGGGAGTACTTAAGAGCAGTGCTTGAAGGAACACCTATCACAGGCCCAAAATAACTGCATTTGCTGACGAGGGTTCAGTTACAGGGTGAGGAAGGGGCTGCCGGGAGCAGGCTGTAGGCACAGACAGACACTTGTTCTGACCTGCTGTGTTGTGTGGAGCATAGGTACAAATGTGTTAATGTGTTAGCTGTTCTAATAATGCCAGCTACCGAAATGTAAATGTTTTGGTTTCCTATTCAGTCTTTCAGTTCCCTCTGTACAGAAAGTTGTCCATCGATAGTATCAAAAGATAGTTTACAAATCATAATAACGGTATCCTGTTTCGGTTGTAGATGGCTTTAAAGTGAGTATTTTTTTTCTGCTTTCCTAACCCCCCCTTCTCAAACTAGGACTTAGAGGAGCAAAGCCGGTTGATCGCTGCTTCCAGCAGATCGAACCAGAGCAGTGGAGAAGGACAATTTGTAGTCCTTAGCAGTAGCCAGTCGGAAGACAGTGATTTAGGAGAAGATGGAAAGAAGAAGAGAGAATCTGAAGCCTAAGATTGTCTACTTTATTAAAATTGGAATCGTGGCTATCCCTGGTGAAATGGCACAAGTTCTACAAGAAGTGAAATGTAGGTGGAGGGTCTGTTGTATTATATAAAAGACTTCACAATATGTAGACCCTATTATACCTTGATTTTTCTTTCTCAGTTAAGTGATTTCCGTTTTCATGCCAGTATAATTCTCTTCTGTATGCCAGATGAAGCATGGTGATGCTGCCATGTTTATTACAAAATGATGTTTTCTCAAGGCTTCTCTGCAGTATGGAAAAAAATGGTGGGGGGGATCCCCACTTACCTCTCAGTGCAGTTGACTGCTCTTGAAGCAAAACTCAAAACTCTCATTGGACTTCAGCAGTACACTGAAATTTGTTCTTTACCCTGCAGCATGGAGAACACCTTGCTGGAAATACAAGTGGATGTCCAAATAAGACAGTGCTAAGCTTTACCTAATTTGCTGCACATAACTTTCTTAGATGTAGAAGAAAAATCCTTATTAACATCAGTAAGATGTGCAATAGTTCTAGACAGAAAGATCTTATTTTTTGTTTCATATTGCACTGTATGATACCGTCGTGATTTTTTTGGTGAATATAATGCTGAAAGACTTCTTTCAACAGGAGAAAAAAATACTGTCAGACCTAGATAAGAGCTGATGAGACGCAGTTGCACTTTGCTGCATGAGGAATGTATAAAGCATTCCTTATCAAATGATAAGAATAATGTATATATTCTTGTAGCACAAAAGTGCCACGTTCTTGGTTTTCCCCAGTACGTGTAATAAAAAGCTGTAAGCCTTTGAGTTCACTTTTTATAAAACATGCTTAGAGTTGCAGGAACATCTTGAATTCCATCACTTGAAAAAAATCTTCTGAATATGTAAATGCCTTGCCAGCAGTACACTACACTTACTGAAAATGAGTTGAGGCTCTTTAAATCTTTTTACGGAAATTGATTTTGCAAACAGAATTTACTAGCTCTGAAGTAAGAGACTATGCTAATCCTACAGCCTAGAGTCAATCCTGTCGAGCATTTTTCAAAGCAGTGTCTGTTTACAGCTTGTAATCTGAACTCCGTGTTCCATAGCCTGTGTAATATTTATTTTGTACAGTACTAAATGTGCATTCACCTTTTGATCCAGAAGAGAAGACTTGTTTGAAGAGAAATATTTATTTTTGCACTAATTACTATAAATACTAAAATACAGGGGAACAGAAGATCTCTCTCTAATAGCAGCATGAAAATAACAGGAAATGTAGAAAGAGAAGAATACGCTTATACTCCAAGTTATAACAGTTACGAGCATTTTCCAGTTCATTGCAGGGCATTTCTGGTGTTCAGGAATGGAAGCAATTTTCAGAATATCTCCCCATCAGCTGGTGATGGCCCAGCCCTTCATAGCCGAATTGCTCAGAGCTGATAAAGTGAGTGTGGAATGTCAGGCCCTCTCTGCTAGATGGCTGTAGGTGCATAGAGGGATCAGTGTCCTTAGCTCTCCTCACACGCTGGAGTGGCCCTGTGTTGGCTAAAGAAGGCAGTCTCCTCCTGCCCCTTATGCTGGAGATGCGAATTTCTATGGAGAAGCTCACTGCATCTGGCTCCTGTCACAGGAGAGAAGGGGGAGCGGTGCCTGCCCTTGCAGCGCCTGGGCAGGACTAACAGAGTCTGCTGCACTGGGGCTGCTATGCAGCAGGAGCTAGAGCAGCTCTCGGAGCAGATGTTACTGGCACCACAGCCTATGGAAGGGCTTGAGCAGCCTCCCAAGGGGTCACAGTACTCCTGCCTTAAAAGAGGAGGTGGAGCAGGAGGCTGAGCAGCAGAGAGCCTCCAGGTTCTCTTCCTGAGTTAGTTAGCAACTCCTCTTGCAGTACACTTTTCATCCCCAGAGTAGCCAGTCACTTGCAGAAATACCTGCTTTTGCTGTTGCCCTGTCAGGCCAAATGGCATTGCCCTGTGGCCAAATTCGGCTAGCACACTGTCACATCGACCACACAAATCTGAGGCTTTTTTCTAAAAAAGAGTGGCATTTTTATTTCTTATCTAGTCTTCTATTCTCAGCTCTCATCCTTAAGAGACTGGTTTTATTCTTGACAACAAAAATGTACAGAGGCAGCAAATCTGGGTTTTTTTCCCCTTTTTGTGCCTAAATCTAGGCTTACAGATAGTTGCATGGCAGCCAGTTTGTCTCTGCAAATCGTTCCAGTTCATGTTTCTCTCTCTGTTTGTTTGTTTTTACTTACTGATATTTCTAGTTTCTATCAAATAGTATGACAGCATAGCTCAAGGTTACTGTGTCTTACTGTATCTTCCTCAAGTACATGCAGAAGATGAAGTAGTTTTGAAACAGCACAGGAAGAATATGAAAGCAGTGGTCTCCAGTTTCTAGAATCCAGTCCCGCGGCTTGTCAGAGTGGGATTGGTTGTGTTACCCAGTTTAGCTGCAATAGCCCTAGCTCCACATGGAAGACAGTTAATAGATCAGCAATCTCATCAAAAAGCATTTCTGATGTGTAGCCTGTTTTGAAGAAATGTCAGGAAATTGAATTACTGTTTTTTCTTGAAACCTACCATTACTTGTTTAGACATAAATCTGCAAAGATGAGGAAGAAAGCGGGAGAATAAAGTTGGCAGAGGAATTTACTGTCATAGGGGATTTTTCAGATTTAGCAATACATGACTGGAATTATTCCATTTGCTTTTCAGGCTTTCCATCTATGCCATTAAATGTAGTTTTCTAAAACAGACAGCATGGGAGTCAAGTGCATTTCATTTGTGTTGGATGATTCTCATCTTAACCACTAAAAAAAGGGGACATGATTGAAGAGAGTGGTTAAAGAAAACAGGTTGATATGCATGAATGAAATGGGGGGTGGGGTGTTGCTTATTTAGGAGAGTTTCACTGGTGTAAAATGAGCAAAAAGATGTAAAAGCATCTGGGAGAGGGATGAAAGCTGCAAAAGCACATGGCAGGTCGGAAGAGATGAGGAAGTTAAACGGGAACGGTGCAATGAGTTAGCAGTGGGGGTGAGAATTACTGAGTTTTGCTTAAGGGGAGGAGCATGTGGCTCTGTAATTAGACCTACCTCAAGGCAAAAAATAGCTGCTGAGGTGTCCATGCCCTTCTCCCCAAAATAAAAAACTATTTGACCCCTTTCTTCCTATGAGGTTTAGAACTACTTCATTGGAAAACATTTTTGTTAATTAAAAAAAAAAAAAGTGCTTAGTATTTTCCTTGAGAGTATGACTTTTAATATAAACACCTCATGTTCTCCTGGGAACTACTGCAGCAGGATTTCACCACCTGAGCATTTTATTACTGTAAGTGAATTACTGGTTGGTTTCCTCTCCTGTAATTTATTTCTCCTGTTCAGTATTTCCTGTTGCCTTTTACTTACAGGCTGATCTTTCAAGCACTTCCAGCTAAAGCTGTAGTTTGCTTCATGTGCATCTACTCTTATTTCAGACACTCCTGAAAATATTCTTTCAAGTGTATGATTTTTAGAGTGACTTTGTACAGGTACTGAATCAGCAGTGCTGTTTAGGACTAACTTTTTATGTTGCTAATTGCAGCCTCATAGTTACTGCCACATTTTTTCCCCTTAGGTAAGGGGATGTTAAGTTTGTTACGCTATGTAGATTTACACACTGCAGACCAAGTGAGTCTCACTGCCAGTTGTTTCAAGCTACATACATTCTTTATGTATGTCATGAATATCAAAATATATAAAGTGTGCTTATGGGTATGCATTTTATTGCATTATAGGTAATACCTAGCACTCCTCTATGGCCACTAAGAGATTTCTCCAAGTTTAAATCGGAGAACAAGTTAAGAGTCATATACAACTTAGCCGTATATAATTGGTCACGAGCAGGTAGTGTAAACTAGTTTGAATTTGATAGTCTATTACTTCCTTAATCTGTTTAGGTTTGAAATTCTATCAAGACAATTTACTGTCTAACAGTAAAGTAGTATTTAAGAGTTAAGGAACATTCCCCCTCTACAATGCTGTCAGATTTCACCTTTATATGGATATAAACCCAGAGCTGAAAATCCTGAAACAGCTGAAGCTATTTATGAAGATATAATTTATGTACATTGATATAAAGAAGCACATTTGTGTGCATGTTTAAGGCAAATTCTGATGAATTAGTTGCACAGAATTTAGGAGAAGCCAATGGAGAAAACTACATTACCGTGGAGTCTCCTGTTATTTTGGAAATAATTCATATAGAGAAAGAAAACCTGCCTCCGCTTAGTGAATTTAGTAGAGATATTGTCTAGTCTAACAGCAAGAGCTGATATTTTATATTCTTTCTGTTGCTCTATTTTACAAAATTTATTGCAGGTCAATTAGTCTCCGAGGCTTTTCTTTTTAACCAAGCAGTAAGTTGATTTTTTTTTTTTCCTGCCACAGTGGTATCTAAGTTGTCACAACAAGAATAAGTCAGTGTGTCATTGTGAATGCACTTGTATTCCTAATGAAGTTTATATTGCAAGCCAAGGATTTTGTACGATCTTTCAGGTCATTTTTATAGTAAGAGTGGAGTGGTCAAATTCTTATGATGATGATCTGGATTGGTCCCGCTCTAGTGAAGTGTCAGTGATTTTTGCAGTGTTTGAGACTGACTTGCACATTTTCCCTGAATAGCTGTATTAAAAACCTCCAATGGCATACTTACGTCAACTTTGCTTGTTGTGTCTTAATCTTGGAAACATGGATAGTAAACGTATTATGCCAGGGCTTCAGTCAGCATTTTGTAGATTAAATAAAAGCTTAACTGTAGTAACTTTCTGGGTGGGATTTGTACCGATGCAAAAACCTCCTGCATTTTTCATAATACTGACTTCCAGGAAGTACCATTATCAGTGACCGGATGTGTTCCCTTCCATTAAAGAAGTTTTCACATGCAGTTATATCCCTCTGTTGTCAAAGCATATCTCAATTCTCTTAATTTTAATCATATTAGCCAGACAACCTCAGAGGAAGTTATTGTACTTGGGAATGCTGATAACTTGCTTTTGCAACAATCAAAGACTGAATGGCAGCAGAAGGTGATCCTTACCATCGCAGCTGGCTGTTCAGTGCACATGTTGTTGTAGTCACATGACAACGTCTA